GTGTGTGTGTGTGTGTGTGTGTGTGTGTGTGTGTGTGTGTGTGTGTGTATGTGTGTATGTACAAAAAATCATAAAATATTTACGGTTATAAATCAAGTTTTTAATTCAGTTTTTTCTTTAGGTCTTTTTGCATCGAGATTTTTATAAATTTACTTTCAAATAATTCCTAGCGAAAAAAATCTTATATTTCATAATAATTTTCAGAATCTTTCATATTTTAAATGTATAGAGATATAAAAAAAAAATTGTTGCGCGTCCATGCTGTTTTTCGCAGAGTACCCGCGACACTCTTATATGCATACTCCCCGCTCACGCGGAAAAAACTACACTGTACTTAAAAAACTGGACTCATTTATTAGAGAACGTTTATTGTAGAACCGTTGTTAGGAACATAACAGCGGACAAACAGGAAATAATGTAATGAAATTCATTGACGTAAAACGTTAAAATCTATGGTACATACAAAAACGTAAGGCAGTAAGCAGTAAACAAATTGATCAATCACAGAGAGAGTAAAGTCAATAGCAAATCCAACATTACGATTTCCTTACTACTTACGTTTTACTGCTTTATGTTTTTGAATGTACCATGAGTTTTACTTTCGTCTTCAACAGCATCAAAACAGTTGCTTGTCCGAAAAACATTCTATGCATTCTAGGCTGTTTTATATATGCCTTTTATTCGAATTAAATCGAACCTAAGATCAGTTTAACACAGGCGTATTATTACCTTAAACATCTTTAGATTTTATGTTTTCTTCGAAAATTATAAAATTATAGAATAGACATCTTAAAATATTTCAGAATTTATATATATAAAGAATTCTAGAAGCGTCGTAGATTTTCTTAACATTTTTGAAAAATATGTCAATAAAAAATATGAAAAATTTTGTAAAAAAATATAAAATTATATAGAAATTGTAAAACATTTTCAAAATTATATAATTATTATTATTCTGAAAAATTACCAAATTCTAAGAAAAATTTTCATCAAAGATAAAGGAGAAAGATAAAAACGTACATCTCAAATATAAAGTTAACATAAGTAATAATCATTAATGAAATGTTAAAACTGAAGAACCTATGAGACAAGTAGATGATTAGCTTAAATATCTGCAGACACAGCGCGTGCGCACCAGTAAAGACTTAAAGAGTGGCACGTTTCGCCGTCACCGGTAATACATTTAGTTTATATTCACGATTCGCGCAAATATCAAGAAATCAAGAAATTGCAAGAAATAGCCAACATGGATTTGAATTACTTAAGCAAACTGTGGCAAACAAATAGAAAAAGCTTTAGCCAACAAAACCAAGACAATACCGAATTAAAAATTGCCTTCTTGGAGAATTGTGAGTTGATGGCACGGCTACAAACTAATGTCAAGGACCAGCTCGACATCGCGGACGTAACTTCTTATTACGGTAACACAATAATATACATTATACAACACTGAGATAATTTTAAAAAACATTGTACAAATTTGAATTTTGGATGTAAGAAAATTTTTAATGAAGTATAAGTCAGTTGTACACAACTAGTATTCATATTATTATACGAACTCTAGTCATAACATAGTTTATAATCAAACACCTTTTTCTAAATTCTATTCTTAAAATCGCAACTATCAAATCAATTTTGTATTTTATTATTATTCTTTTTTTTTTAATTAATATTCACAAATATAATTTTTAAATATTTAAAATTTCTAAAAATTTTTATAAGTATATAAAAATAA